GGCCGGGACTGATGATTTTTCATCAATAACTCATTATTTTGCTCAGCTAATAAAAGACATGCAATAAGCTGTGAGTACTTTTGAAAGTTTTTCTCACGATACTGCTGTTGCAGCACAACATTCGAAGCATGAAAGGTAGAGAGAGTCTTCTCCAATTTATTATTCTCAGTAACATTTTCTCCGCAGAGTTTCAACTGAGATGTAATCTGATGGATAGCAGCGTTATACTCTGTAATAGTTTTAAAATCCTGCAACCGCAGGTTAAGCCAATTATGTTGGGCTTTGGGGAGAGTGATATATTTCAAGTGCCCAAATCTCTCCCTCAATTCATTCCACAAATCTAGTGGATCTTTCACCGTCAAATATTCAGACTGTAGAGGAATGTCCAAATGATGACGGATGAAAATAATAGCCTTAGCCCGATCTTGGCTTATAGCCGCATTTTCACTGGCAATTGTATGAACAAGGCCCATAGAAATCGGATGCATTTCTACATCCAGGGACCAAGTCAGAAAATTATTGCCGGTGAGAGACAGAGGTTTAAAAGAAAATTTTGCAAGATTTTTCATAGTGTAGAAAATAGATTATATAAATAGTATAAAAACGAAACTTATCAAAAATAAAATAGGCAAGAGCCTTCGTACTAATAATGTGTTATATAATAATTAACTTTATATAATATAATATATATATTGTGCATGGAGATATATATATTTATGTATGATTGTGTATGCGTGTATATATGATGATAGATAAGTAATATATATTTATATATATATATGTATAGAGAGATGTAATGCGCAAATTAATGAAAGAGAAGGAGAAATGAGGGACTCTAACTGTGTGTATTTTATTTCTACATTCATAGTACATATATATAGAATTTTATGTCCAATGAGAAACATCCACACCTTATCTACATCTTATCTACATAATGTTGATAAAGCACAACGTATGTGATACGTTGTATGTAGGTGTATGTAACACAATGGAAGTATTTGTTCATAATAACAATAATATTAGCTCCAATCACCACCTTCTTCCATTGTCGTTATTCATTGATGTTTCAATTCTCTTCGATTTCACTCACTCATGATCGGACCCAACACATAGCTCTCAAGCGAGAAATATCTCATCACTTAATATACAAACTTAATATATAAGGACTTAACTGCTGCCATGACATAGTTCAAGTTAGAATAAGTTGGTTAGAATTAAAAAAAACAAAAAAAAAATTAAAATGAACAAAATCTTCAATTTTATTCAAGTATTTAAATCTTCATTCTTACCGTAAAAATTAAATAATTATTGAATTAATTTTTAACAATATCACAATTATACCATAAAAAAATACAAATATTCAAATTTTACTTTTAAACTTATGAACAACACCAATACTTTTATTTATATGTACCTGCGTACTTGCATCAACGACGATCAATGAATAATGATCTATATTTTTTAAATAAATAAATAAGAAGGGAAATATATTTTTATTGGAAAAAGAAAATGCGAAAGAACAAAAAAAAAGATAATGAAAATTGATATAAAGAAAAAGAAAAAAAAAAAAGCGCGGAGAACAAAAAAGATAGATGAAAATAGATAGGAAGAAGAGAGGAAGGAAAAAAAAACTATATTCATCCTGATTGAAAAATTCGTGTAAACTTTGTGGAAGTTATAATTATATATGGAGTAATATTTATCTATTTTTATATGATTGTATTAATTATATAGATAAATTTTTGACAATTTAAAATTTCTTCTTAATATCATAATTATATTATATCAATATTATAACTTAATATATTATACTTTTTAAATTTATCATATAATAAGTATATTAATATATTATAGATAGATATTTAACTATTTCAATCATATTATAATTAGTTCTACAAATAATTTATCCATAATATTATACTTTAATAATTGTAAAATATTAATTTATTTTAAAATAAGATTTAAGAAATATAGAAAAATTATAGGTATATTTATAGTAAATATTATTATGATTTTGAATGGTTAGTTAAGATAATTTATTATACAATATTTTGCCACAATATTTTATATGAATATTTTTATTTTTTATTTGCTTATATATTTTTAAATAAATATAATACAAATTTTCAATAAAAAATAATATGTGACTAATTTGTTTCAATATTATCGATGGCAAAAATCCATAACAAAATTTGCTAGAAAAATAGATATATTTTTATTTTTATTTTTTATTTTATGAAAAGTTATGTGACAGTTTTAACATATAATTGCAAAATTTTATAGCTATATCGATGTTTTCCAGTAGTGAATAAAAATCATATATATATATATATATAATTAAGTTTCCAACCTTAAAACTATTGGAATTAGTCTAAACTACATCTCCTTGTCGCTTGATTTATTCCGCGTGCATTAAATACCTTTTCGAATCAATATCATTAGCTGTGTTAGAAGATAAATGTTGCGAGGTTTATGGTTCCTTGTGTGGTTTCCAAAATCATTCTAACTTATACCATAGTGTGTTTTTTTGTGAATTTTTTCATAAATTTTTACTATTCAGATTCTTCTTTTCCTCAAACAATCATTTTTTTTTAATATTATACTACAAAATTTATTTTACATTCAAAATATTACATCAACCTCTATTTATATCACATCAAACAACTATTCAAATTCAACTTTTTACTATTCAAAAATCCAAATTCAGAAACTAAAACTCAAAAACAAACACACTAGGGTTTTACAATTTCTTCATTTGCTTGGTTGCACCATAAATTATACTCCCTCCGTCCCAAAAGATTTGTCTTGTTTTTCCATTTTCGTCATTCCAAAAACAATTGCCTTGTTTCTTTATTTAGTAGCCGTGGTCTCCACTTTATAACAAAATTATTCCTATTTTTCCATACTACCCCTAATTATTACTCTAACATACTCTTTAAAATCCTTCAAAAGGCAAAGGCATTTTAGTCATTTATATTCTACTTTATACCCACTTTCAATTAAATACTATTATTCCTTAATTCTCGTGTCAATTCTCAATAAGACACTTCTTTTGAGACGGAGGGAGTAGTTTTCTGTAAAAGGTCTTGTGGATTTTGTGCTCATTATATTGTGCAAATTTGTATGATTTTTGTATAAATCTTTATGATTGGTCTTTATTTGATTGGGATGTTGTGGGGCAGATGATGGTTTCATGTGTTATATTTCTTTCATTATTTGCAGCCACCGAGTTACTTCGTCTTGCTAGCGCGAGGGATGATGACATTGATAAATTTGCAATTAATAAATTCTTTGAGGTAATTTTTTTTTTTTTTTTTTTATAACGTGGAACTGCAGTCGTTTCTGGTCGAACACTCTGGGAGAATAACACAATATATTTTGATACGAATATTTGACAAACAATTGTTCTATTATTGCTTATACTTAAATAAATGATTAACTTCATTAATACTTGAAAATCTAAAATATAAACTTTTGGGTTTTATTTTTGCACATATTTGTAGTTATGTAGGTTTTGTGGTTACAATAATAATATTATGTAATATTAATTTTGAATATAAACTAAAATAAATAAGTAAATTGATTTTTAAATAGAAAAAAAAATAATGAAAAATAAAAATCAGATTTAAAAGTTCGAAAGTTCTACGTAAATGTACAATGTTTATATTAAAATATTATTTTATTTATATGTTATGGTGGAATTTCGTTAAAACACCTAATACATTTATACACCCCGAAATTCTTATTTAAATTTTATACAAATAAAAAATAAAAAGTATTTTAAATAGTATTTTTTTAATAAATAAATAAATAATCAACCATTCATGTAGTAGTTTTTTTAAAGATAAATTATTACCTAATTTAAAAAATATATATTAAAAGATAAATTATTGATCAATTATTTATTATTTTTTTTAATATATTGTAAATTGAAATGATATTTATTATGTTAGGTAAGTAGTACAATTACTAAATTGAGAAATGATATATTTGTTTTGAGACCGATAGAAATAGAAAATAACAATATTTCAATGGGACCGAGAAAGTATTTAAAATATTTGATATTTTTTATTTGTATAAATTTTGCTACATTTACAACCAAACATCAAATTTGAAGGAATGAATATGATGTTTTGTCCATAGTTTAATTTAACATAAATGAATTTCCGCCGTAAATAAAATACGAAATATTTTATATATTTTCACCGAGAGATAAATATTATGCAATTTTGTGCACAGTCATACCTAATACACACACATCCCGAAAAGTTCTTTATTGTTGTAATATACATAGATAACAACCGGGATGCATGCATGTTGACCGTTCATTCAATTTCATATATATGTTGATGTACTAATGAAGTTTGTTCTTTTAATATTTTAAATTTAAATAAATATTATTAATTCCGGTCAGTTTTAATTTGAACGAGGTGTTAGATGAATTGATTTTTTTTATGATACGAAAAACTATATTGTAATATAAAAAATAATATTTTATGATAAATAGTTGACTTTTTAATGAATAGATAATGCATATATTATATTAATGTCTGTGTATATTTATATTTTTAACTAATATTTAAACAAAAATTAAAATAAATATATTATTTCAAATCAATTTCGTACCAAAGTCAATCAAACTAAATAATAAGTTAATGAAAATACAAATAAACAAATCTATCATTTTTCAGCACATATTTAATTAATCTAATTAGGTGACTACTTCTTTATTTTTTAATATTTATCTCCAAAATTTTTTATAATAATATAGATAAATAAAAAAATAGTTATAATTTTAATAGTATTTTAATATTATCGTGAATCATTATTATTAAAATATGAAATATACATATTACAATAAAAAAAATACATATAAAATTTTATAAATAAAATAATTTTTACAAATAAAAATGTACAAATAAAATAACACAAAAATAATTTATCCATCCGTGCTATGCACTAGTGTGTATATGTATATATATATATATGATAATAATAACTCAACGAAGCAAATACCAGCATCCATAAATAAAATTCACATCATCCTGACAGTTTTAGAATGTGGCAATCAATCAAATCTCACCGGATACAAACATACAAATATAAATGAATGTCTCAGGAGAACATTTAGGTTCCGGCTTTCCTGCGTCCAACACGGGCAACAAATCCAGCCTTGATAGGAGCAACTGATCGCCCAGACCCACACTGCACAAACAACCAAACATACAAACTTTACATACCAACATATATACTTTTCCCGATCAAAAAACCAAAAATACCACATACATACTTATTGAACATTATGCAACACGGGTTGTTCGATTCTAGGCTCTAGCTATTGCTTGCCTCGTGTACGAATGGAGACACCATGGTAAAAAATAAACACTTGGGAAATTGAATGATACTTTGATTTGTAATGAGAACCATTTAATGATAGTTAGTTAATATTTGGGTCTAAGATCAGAAAACACCCAATGACTAAGAGTTGCAACAGAATTGCAAATAAAGCATTTCAAGTTAATATTAAGTCTAGCACGCATCTTCAAGCACCATCAGCTTCCCTAATGGCCTCAGACAGCATAAAATTACTCTTCGTCTAGAACAATCAGACAATGTAGGCAAATATTTTGTTCATCACAGGCCAAACAACTATTGACAACTTTCTGTTATAGTTAATTCGCTTAAACTGATGTTGCAAGGCACCTTCATACAGAAGCAGACAACATAAACAAAATAAAGAGAACTGACAGGTAAAGATGAACACGGGTTGGATCGCAGAAAGGATAGATGCAAAATGTTATAATTTTCTGATTATGCGACAGGCCTTAAAATTATGAGAATGTCTCTGCCACAGTGACACTGTAATAAAACTATGTTTTAACATTGCAATGATTCTAGTCAATGGTTTGAAACCTTAACAGCCAAATTAACAGAAACTAAACTACCTTTTCACATCGAAGAAAGAAGAGACGGTTCTCCTTTGAGAGGATAGTGTCCGGACTTTTGCAGCCATTGCAGATAACATACTCATCTGCACCCATCATACACAAGCAAAATTATGGGACACTAACAAAATTATACTACTTCAGGGAATCTACAAAACACAGAACAATAACTTGATATGAATTATGTAATTCTTAAAAACAATTTCTATGCACCGCAGCATAAGAACCACTGTTCAATATATGTGGTCATGAGTTGAGAGAATTTGCAAATAAAAGAGGAGAAAATGCTAAAAAAAATTTAAGCACAGAATTACAGAGAAAAAAAGGAGGAACTAAAGATCAAGCTGAAAGCAAGATCACTTGAACATATTCTTTCAACTTAATTTCTGAAAATGTTACAGAAAAACTTACTGATGTATCTTCGCAGAATTCCCTCAAAGTTCTTTGGGGCAAACCTTCCCTTGACTACCAACCTTTGTTGTCCATCCAGAGAACCACTTGTTCCCATTTCAGCCAGCAAGAAAGTCATGACATGCTCTGGTTGTCGATGCATCCTATACCCCAATAAAATCCATGACAAAAGTAAAATATCAACATTCATTAATGCCGCCATGACCAAGGTCAATAAAATATAAAATCCAATATCATTGTGAAAATTGCAGAGCACCAGCTTGTTCCAATGTTTGTTTAATACATTTAAATTTTTCTTTTTTCAAAAAAATTGTGTAAAGAAGCTTGCACAGTGATATTCAACAATAAGGAAACCTGAAAACAATTATGTTTAATTAAAGTTTTGCTTGCTGGAACTATATTATTGAATATCAAAATCTCAAGCATTAATTAGGAGGCTAACTTTCATAAATATATTTTGTCAAGTTAAAAACACATCTTAGCCTAAAAAATGAAAGAGCATACGTTTTGCAGAGATCCATGAAATTCACAAAGACAGTTTTTTTGGTGCCTTCTCGAAGAACTTGAGGTGGTCTCATAACTGTCCTGCGCCGATCTCCAGCAAGTTCCGGGTTATTCTCACGAAGAATGTTGAATACTCGGCCAAGAAGCTGTGTGTTTCAAAGGAAGGGCCAATACATAAATTTGTCAGATAAAAACTATAAAGCAGGAAGTAGCAACATGAAGAGAACAGCCATGATCAAGCAAATATTGAAAAAGAAGAGATGCAACTATATCTTGTAATGGTACATGGAATGCTATAAACACAATGGCTCTTCAAATCTATGGCATGCATCGCAACAGGCAAAACATGGTTGTAGAAGCACAGCACAAAATCGCATAAACAAACAAATTGAAATCATAGTTGTCAATCACGGATAGCGATGCGTAGCGGTCAATATCTAAAATGCTATAGCGGAATAGCGGTATGACCACTATTTAAATATTTAAAAATATATATAAAATTATTATATATACAAAATTATAACAAAAATACATAAGAAAAACCTATAAATTAATTTCATAATTATCACCAAAACCAATAAAATGTCAAAAGATATATATATATGATCATAACTATTAGATAGTTATATAAGCAAAAACAATTAGATCACTATTGTGTAATAGATATATATCAAAGCTAATCAGATTCAAAATCTGATAAAAAAATTTCTTCCTCACTTTCATTATCCTCGCTGCTTAATTACTTTTGTCAGTATATTTTTTCTCATCTTCTTCATTTTCATCCATTTATTCAATTGTATGTCCGTCGCCTTGTATAATATCATTTTTCTTTTTAGAACTAGAAGTACCTATAACTTTCTTTCTCATTGATGCATTGATATTTGTATCTTAGTGTAGATAAGAGACCTATTAGCATCAACAACTACCCTAATCAAATTATCATGGTGAAAGGCTAACTTATCCTCCACAATTCATAGTTGTCAATCACGGATAGCGGGGCGTAACGGTCAATATCTAAAATGCTATAGCGGAATAACGGATAGCGGTATGACCGAGATTTAAATATTTAAGAATATATATATAATTATTATATATACAAAATTATAACAAAAATACATAAAAAAAAAACCTATAAATTACTTTCATAATTATCACCCAAACCAATAAAATGTCAATACATATATATATATATATGATCATAACTATTAGATAGTTATATAAACAAACAAAAAAAATTAGATCACTATTGTGTAATAGAGATATATCAAAGCTAATCAAATTCAAAATTTGATAAAAACTTTTATTCCTCATTTTCATCATCTTCGCTATTTAATTACTTTTGTCTATATATTATTTTTTCCTCTTCTTCATTATCATCAATTTATTCAATTGTATGTTCGTCACCTTGTATAATATCATTTCCCTAAGTACCTATAGCCTTTTTTCTCATTGATGTATTGATGCTAATATCTTAGTATAGATAGCAGACCTATTAGCATCAACAACAACTCCCCTAGTCAAATTATCATTGTTAAAGATTAACTTATCCTCCGCAATTATCAACTTCTTTAATTAACCACTCATTGGAATCATTCAAAACAATAGGACCAATGACATCATTGCTACCATAATGATCTAACAAAGTTTGGTTATACTTGATATAAATCAAATTTTGCAATTTTTGGCTTTCTAACTTGTTTCTTTTTTCGGAATGAATTTAAAAATTCAGTTAAGATTTAAGATAAATATTTTTTTGTCTATATTATAATAAAAAAATACATTTTATAAGTTCAAGTTAAATCTCAATTATTTACATGTTAAAAAATAATCAAATAAGCTAAAATGGCGACATAGCGTAACATAGCGGAGCGGCTATAGCAGCAAAGTGCCTTTCCGCTATGCTACGCCGCTATTGCGCCGCTATTGACAACTATGCCACAATTATCTTTAATTAAACACATTTATCTTGCAACTTTTGGCTTTCTAATTTTTTTTTTTTTTTTCCGGAATGAATCTAAAAATTTAGTTAAGATTTAAAATAAATATTTCTTTTTGTCAATATTATAATAAAAAACATACATTTTATAAGTTAAAGTTAGATTTCAATTATTTACGTTTTAAAAAATAATCCAATAAGCTACAATAGTGGTATAGCGTAACGTAGCGCAGTGCCGATACAACGCTATTGCGTAAACGCGGAATTGTGGAGCGACCGTAGCAACAAAGTGTCTTTCCGCTACGCTATGCCGCTATTGCGCCGCTATAGTATTCACAACTATGATTGAAATACTATCAACTCGTAGGATTTGTTTACCAGTTTTTTGTGTATGTGTGTGTTGAATTTGATATATATGAGGTGAAATTGTAGTGGATGTGGTGTTTTGAATGAAAAGTCGGTATAATATGTAATGTTTTGGAGGAGAAGTGAGAAGTTTAATAGTAAAAACCATGGAAAAACACAAGTGAACAAACGGCAAACCCTTAAAAAAAAAAAATAAACAAGGCGTATACATCAAATTTCAACATAACCTGTAACATCAATGTGTAATGAAGACTAGTTAAATACAACTCAAACAATTTAAATATCAATAGATGAACAATTTGAACACGAAAGGTGAAGGGAAAAGCAGGTTGAAACAAACAAAGTGAAAGAATAATAAGAATGGTGGGAACAGATTGGGAATAAGGGCTAAAGAGGTAAAATTAGAGAGAATATACATAAGTATGCCGAGTCTGCATTCCAATCAAGAGAGAGGTATAACAGGTAAATATGATTCAACCTTCTTTCTGCTTTTGTGTGAATACGGAAACTAAAGAAAAAAAAAGTGGCTTCTATGAAACATGGTGCTATGACGCTGATCCCAGATATAATCTGATCCATGGTTCACCCTAACTAATCAATTAAGATTAACAATATTAAATGACAACCTCGTATACAGCTTATCCTCCACTTTACTCATTTCACAATGTTTATAAGCATGATAACTACACAATAGTGAGAAAACTTAGATAAACCTTTTACGTGCGTATGCCCACAACCCATAATAATGCATGGCACCAAATAGTGTGGATTATACATAACACACACACACATATATATATGCAATTAATGATGCATTTTCAACAAACAAAATAACCATTCAAGCATCTCATAAAAAATTATGTAAAACATAAAACCAAAAAAAAAAAAAAAACCTTTAATATAGTAATGCAGAAAAAATAAAATAAACTGTAATCTCGGGTGCAAGCTGCCTTCCTTGGCATAAGAGCAACGACACAGTAGATATGGAAGAAAGTATGAGAGGCAAAAAGGAGATTTATAAAAGGGCAGCGGGCAGAAGCTATGAGCCGGAGAAACTTAAGGGAAAATCCAGGGGAAGTCCAGAAGAAACTTTCTTTCCAGATCATTACTTAACTTAAAAAGAAGAATAAGAATAACACATAATTAATCATTACAAATAAAAATAAATAATATTAAAGTCAACTATTCTGCCATGCGCCATGACAATTGCACATCAGTGGCGCGCCTTACCATAGCAAATGGCACAAAGCTGAGACATTTGCTGCATGCACCATGGCACACCATTTACAACTGTGTGCCACATCATAAAGTCAATCACATAAAATGCACATACCTCCTCATACTCATAATCTCGATCAGTTCCTTCCCAAGGATATTGTTGTAAGACAATTCCTTCCCCATCCTCATCCTCTCCATTGATATCTTAAGAATTTCATAAATAAAAATTAAAAAGAACATTTGCAAAGAAACATAAAATTTAAGTAAAAAGGCTCTCTCAAGTAAGCTCCTTACCTTCGGAATTTTCGGCAACATTCTCTTTTTCTTCATTCAGATCTGTAGGTGCCTGTAACAGTTTTGCATGAACCCATCATATAAAAAACCACAGAAAATTTAGAGAACATAATAACAGGGAAAAAAATACTTACTGGCTTCTTCTTTTTCTTTTTCAGACCAGCAAATGAAGTTTCAACAGCATCAGAAACTGCAAGTTGATGAATTACATTGAATCAATAAGTTAAAAAATATCTATCTCAAAATTTAAGTTCACATATAACATACAAATGCATCAAGAGAAAACTGCTGAAGATAACTACCAGTCAAACTCTCGGTTTTCTCAACTAGCGTATCAACAGGCTCCTCTTCAACTAGATCTTGAACCACGACTTTCTTCTTTTTCTTCTTTTTTGTAGGATCAAAAGAAGTTATCTGCATCACAATCAAATATATACATATGGTTATGCATACTCAACTCCTGATTTCATCATTTACAAGATAGTTAGTGGCATATAAACATACATAAATGGCTTAATTGCTCAAACCAAAACTTCAAACATTTAATCCCCACTTGAATCTCATTTTCAGTAAATCTGTGTGCAGTTAGGCCTAACCAAATAATCTACATGTTAAAACAGACATAAAATTCATAAATACACTATTCAGTCATAGCTTGATTGCATAAAGGATAAAGCATAAATTTTTCACTACATACTCTTCACAGAACATATGAAGCCATCCTCGTACCCAACATTTAATGAAATTATTCACAAAAGAAAACAAATATAATAAAGATTCTAGCATCCCAGAAAGCACAAAATCGCAATGTAAAGTACTCAGTAACATAAATTCGAAACATTTTTATTTAATACTTACATCTCCAACATCATCCTTAACCTCGTTCATCGCAGTTTGATCTTCATTTTCCGCCATGATTGTATTCTAATCTGCAACTAAAATTCCAAAGAGAAAATTCGCATTCAAGTATGTCCGTCCTTGCATTCAATTTATTGATGTCATATACCCAAAACAAAAGCAAACCCCCATGTCCTAAGTCAGGATGAATATTCACATATTCAGGCAGAACACAATAGTATCTGCGAACACCCTAGATAATCCAAAAGATTGAATAAATAATTATTTTATTTTTATATTATATAAAAAATTGATTTTATCCAAACCCTGTACAAACACACCCTAATAAAATTACCTGTGATCATTGTAATAATAACTGAACTAAAAAGTCCCCTCCCCTCTTATCGTATCGCACGTAAATATTTTTGTTTATAACCGGAGGCAGCGACTATCGAATGTTGGGGCGGGTGGCGACTGTGAAGGAGGAGGAGGAAAAAAAGAAGAAAGAAAGAAAAGAACTGGGGGAAACATAAGAAGATGGGAGTGTGGGCGGCGGCGACTGATGGAAAAGGAGGAAACAAGAAGGAAAAAATGAAAGAATTGGGGAGGACGAAGATGGGGAAAGAACATGGTTCGGCGGCGGCTGTGGGCTGGATGTAATAGGGCAAAATTGTGGATGTGTACCTGTGCGATTTTCCTCCGATTTTACTATGCATCTACTTTCAAAACCCAATCTAAAAAGTCTATCCTACTCCACCCTACAAATCCTATCTACTGCGACGGCGACCGGCGACCTCCGGCAGAAGAAGCTGTGAGGACGGAAACAAAAAGAGAGTGAAAAAAGAGATGAGAAACTCACCGGAATTTCAGCGGGAGGCGGCGGCAGCGGAGGCCTTCGTCTTCGGGAGAAAAGCAACGCCAAAGGAGAAGAAGAAAAAGAAAAATAAAAAAGGGGGAAGAAGGTGGAGAAAGTAACGAAGAAGAAGAGGAGGAAGAAATAAAGTGGGGGAGGGCGGCGGCGAGGAGTGGTTGTAAGTAGGGTTTGTTATCTGTAATTCTATTCTTCCGTAACAAATTATCTATTTTTTTATTTTAGATTATCTCCTAATAAATATTTAATTCTTCTTTTTTAATTATACTATTAATTTAACATTACAAATATTCGACAAATATCATTACCTTTATATCATATAATACCAAGATCAAGATCATCCGCAACTGAGATACCCGCTTTTGGTATCTCTACTAATTTTTATTATTCACATTACTTTCTTTCTCTGACACGTCAGAGGAGATACTCTTTTATTTTATATTCGCAACAAATATATTCATCCTAATTTTTTAATAAATTTTTATTTTTATATTATATATATATTATTTTTTAATTATAGTTTTAATTTTTAGTATTAATTATTATATTATATTATATTATTATTTGTCAATATTTTGATTTATTAAAAAATTATGGAAAAAAAGTTATATTATTTATAATTATATTTTATTTAATAAATTAAATTAAATTTATTAATATTGATTTGTTGAATAGAATTATATAATATTTGTATTTATATATTTTAATTTTCAAATTGATAAAATATATATAATATTGGTATCATTTTGTAGAATACAAAATATTATGAATTATAAAAATACTACAAAATTTAAATATAACAATAAATTCAATATAAATTACAAAAATAAAACATATATATTATATATTATATATATATATATCTAAGTGTCATGTGTCCCAATTAATTTCCGTCGCGGGGATAACAAGAGAAAACACGCCTATGTCTCAAACCACCGCCGATATGTCCGACGTTACTAGATCTGTCGAATGCCACTGTGGAGTAAAGGCAAAATTGAGGTGTTCTTGGAATAACGACAACCCAAGTCGTAGATCCCACTCTTGTAGATATTATAAGGTAATTCAAAATTTGTATTTTAAAAATTAAAATTAAGCATATATGAACATTCGTATATGATAATTTAAAATTTTTGTTTTTTTTTTTTTTAAATTCAAAATGGTGGGGGATGTGGTTACTTCTAGTGGGAAGACCCTCCAATTTGTCGACGGAGTAAGATTGTTATTCCTCGGCTGTTGAAAAATTAGATGCAAAAGAAAAGGAGATTGTGCTTCTCAGAAAGAAAAATAACTGAAGCATATGTGTTGCATATGCAATTAGTATTTTTGTTGTTAGAATGGTATGCATCGTCTACCTACTGCGCAACAATGGCGCAAAAGGTTGTCCAGACATTTTGATGATCGAGTAATATGTTGGGTGGATTGATTTAAATTCTAGTTGATGGAATGTAGAACGAAGAAAATGTATGTGTATTGAATCCCGAGAGTCGTTAATATTCGAAGCATGCGGAAGCCTATTTTGTTTTTGTTGTATGTTGTGAACATATCTTTATGTGGAAATGTATTTTACAATATTTTGTCTTATGTGGAAGTCTATATAATTAAACGAAAATCGTATTAATACAACATGTGCATTTGTACAACTTGTGCATTCCTACACACTTTTGCATTACTACAATACAACATGTGCATTCCTACACACATTTGCATCACTATAATATAACATGTGTTTTCCTACACACCCATGCATTCCATTCCTTCGATAAAAAAAAAAATAAAATAAAATAAAATAAAATAAAATCATAACGTATGCATAACATGTGCATTACTACCTATAATCGAAAAGAGGTAGCACAATTTCATTCCAAAAATTGAAATTGTCCACCAATTCACAAAGAAGGTGTACTATCCTTAACATAATTCAAAATATGTAGTACAACACAATGCAACAAAACAAGTTATGTCATCCAAAACTTAGTAGTTCAAAAATAGGTACTGCAATGTAGAATTGTTGTCATTACTACAACTTCTATAGAAAAATTTGGACACAAGATGCTTCACATTCTGTCTATGTAGAAACGACCGTACTGAGCTCCTCCACGCTCACGAACTACTGCCTTTGAATCATAGTTTGCCCAGCTTGTGATCTAGTTGATGGCCATCTTGTGAAAATTGGTTGTTACCACATTTTGGGACCCTATCCGTATGTGGTGGTGGTGGTGGTTCTGATGCTGAGACAGTTGGGAGAATGCGAGTTGCTCCTGTGTCGTGTAGTTGCTCCCACATAGATGGTCTCTACACAATCAATCATTAGATAATTAGCAATGTTAGAGTATAAAAAAATCATTAATAAATGTATTTACGTGCTGGCTTTGAGTTCCTTTTGTAGCCTCCAGGGCTTTGTCCTTTCGTGGCCTGCCTCGACGTTTTGATTGGGTCGTAATCATGGATTCTTGTGTGAAAATTACCCCAAGTTGAGTAACTAGAACAATGGTGTTTGATTTGGCGGTGTTCTTTGTTGTAGCTCATTGAATTTGCGTCTACGAAGAATGCAATATAGATTCCAACTTACTTCGTAAGAGAAATAATATATATTATGTATTATGTTAGATTGTACTTACAGACATCCGTCGTGGCCTATGTTCTACGGATGTTGTCATGGGGTCTTGCCTAGCCACCTATATGTGCAAAGAATAGTCAATGCATGATTGGTATCACAAATATAATACAATAACTACACACTGCTATAGTTTATACCATTGATGATGATTCCTCATGCCGACGGTTCTCAAGTGATTGTGGATACTTTCTAACATTGTCTCCAGAGTTCACACGTCCTCTGCAACAAACAGTCGTTTGATTTTTCTTTAACATTAAAGTTCTAACCTTCTTTCTTGTTTTTCTCACAGGTTCATCTCGTTCTCTTTGCCTCGATGAGGTAGGTCTCCCAACCAATCTCATTTCCGTTGGGGGTTTAGATGGATTAAACCCCGTTACCTCCCAAAACATGTCACTAGTGACAACCATTATAGTAGGAGCATATACCTTAATGTATGTCTCAACGGAATAGTACTCATCGATATAGTCTTGAATCTCTTCTCGTTGGTTAGAGATGGTTGATGATAACTATTAATTTTATCATATTTTATAACTTAGTTTTATTTAATTAGTTATTTATTTATGTCAAATTTTAGTATTATTTATGTTAATTTATTTTAATAATTGTACTTATTGTATATTGCATGTAAAAATATTAATTTGTTAATTTTTAAGTATATTTTACAATTATTTTGGTGTATAAATTAAATTAATTAATATGTTTCTTAAATTATGTTTTTAGGCATTATTTATGTATTATTTAATTACTTAAATTTGGCTAAATTAAAATTGTTTAATAAGTATTATTTATCTAAATAAATATTTACAAGGTGTCTATTGTTTATACATGTGAAATAATACTTGGGAGTTCAAATTTTGCCTCAAAAAACGAAAAAAATAGTTTCTAGAGCGAAAAAGAGCCACTAGCGCGAAAGTCAACGGTTGATCGGAGATTTTTGGAGATTTAAAAATATCTGTTAAGATACAAAAGAAATGATATATGTATAAAATGAAAATAGTGTCATGCGTGTTAGTGTAGTAACTCAAAAAACTTCGTCAAAAATAAAAAATCTCTTTAACCGGTGAGTGTCTGGGTCGAACTCAGGGAATATGCGAATATCCTATATTTAATTAGAAAAAGTGCAATGAGTTAATGCAATCGAAAAAACTGAAAAGATAAATTGCAGAAATTAAATCTAACTAAAAATCGATAAAATATACGTATCTCGAAAAGGATGAAGCGAGGCGTTTGTGTTTGACTTTTGCGTTCCTTAATGGCTAGATTTTCATGGATGAAATGAGCGGGATGACGATGGCGTGATAGCAAAAAATATATGTATAATTGCGGGGCGGCTCAGAGAAATGAGCGTGATTGCATTTGCTCGCTTAAGCCGATTCTCGACTCGGTTAGTACTTGACCTTAGGGGATTTACAACGAGGCTTCAACGATACCCGACGAAGAATATTATAATCAAGAAACTCTACTGTCACTAGAAACTTCAATGATCGCCTATGCCCTATGAATTATTCTTCCAACCGTTCCGCTAGTGGCTCTACCCCTCTGATACCTCTATTTAATCGGAATCGAATTCAGAACAACAACTAAGCAGGTCGACAAGGCTCCCGTGTACTTAGTTATGTTGAACTACCCGGAATATGTTTGTGATGCAAAATAGGGCTGAAATAGTAGATTCTTCTATCGGCCTTCCGCAATATTGCCGAAATCTAACTTGAACGATTCAAATCGAACATGAGATTTTTGGGTGAAGATGAGGTGGAGAAATATGATAAGAATTTTATTAGCTAAAATAATATACTGGAATTGAAAGAAAAAGAGGAGAAAATTAGTTTGCTTGCGACAAAAATATGAAGGAAAAGAAATGGAGAAAAATGAAGTGATGGATAGTGTATGATTATGTATATATGGTGTATATATATAATACAATTAGAGTAGATATTTATAGGGATGAAAAGTTTCTAAAAGCTCTGTGGTTACAACCGCCCATAAATAACTATCTCTAAAAATAGCTACTAACTACCTTTAAAAATAACTATTAATAATTATTTATTAACTTACTAATAACTACCTATTTTTTAGAAAGATCTAGAATAAAAAAAAAATACACAAAATAGCCAAAACTTGGCTAAAAAAATAGTGCATGAATTTAATTAAGAAAGCTGAGAGAGTGCAGTAAATGTAGGAGCTGAGGGAGCCTGGGCAATAAATGGTTCAGTAATTGCTGCACAAAATTAATGCAGCTTCCGCTCATGGATTCCACGCAGCCGATACTCGCTTTCCGCAACAACCGTCGCTTCGCTCACTTCCACGCATGACCTTCCGTGCTCATAAATACAACCGCCGCTCGGCTTTTGCGCTCGTGCACTTATATGCCGCCGTCGCTTAAATTCTGCACCAGCCGCCGCTCACGGAGTCCGCGCCAGCCCACTTTCCGCGTCAGCCGTCGGTTCGCTCACTTCCATGCATGGCCTTCCGCGCTCATAAATGCAGCCGCCGCTCGCATTCCGCGCTCACGCACTTCTATGCAGCCGCCACTTAAAT